CACCATAAGGCCCGCCCAGGATTTGTCTGGCTGTCTTTGATCCATTCTGCGCTGGACTCCTTGAGCCACAGGGCTGCAGGAAACCAGCCTCGCCCTCTCTTTCCACGCTGCAGAATCAGCAATGTCTACACCTAGTTAGGTCTGTCAGATGAGGTCGCAAAGGCTGAAAATTCCAGAGGGATCCAGGCCAAAGAGGATGGATGGGCTGAGGAAGGCAGGCCGCCCTGAGAAGTAAATCCCATGGAATTAAAGTAGCTAATAGCGTGACTAATTAGATATAAATATTTGTGTGCATACACAACCCTCCATGACCCAACCCCTTGCCACCACCCTTGAATCACTGCTCTGGTGATGACAGATGACACACCCCACACCCCACAAAGCACTGTTCCAGTTCTCACTCAGCGAGCATCTCCCAGGAATCTGTGCCAATGCTTTCTTCTCCCTGCAACTCCCTCCTGGCTACTCTTACTTACAAATAGAGCTTAAATGGTACTTTCTAGAAGAGGTCTTCTCCCTTGTTGCTACTGTGAGGCCACCCTCACAGCACCCACAGCTTCCTTTCCTAGCACTTAGAAGGCTTGGAATGATCTTGTTTTGCAGCCCTCTTGTTCATCATTATAATCTCCACCATCCCAGAGGGGTGGTGCAAGGTGATATCCCACAAGTAGCAATCTTCCCTTACACAATAAAGAACATGTGCTCACCTCCTTTTCTTCTGAACACCCTATGTTAGTGATTATGGGGTGGGGAGGATATACCAGTGAAAATAGGAGTGAAGGTTTAGGTTGTGTTCAAAAGCAGCATGATGGATGCTTCGAGATGGATGGATACTCAGCTCGGCATTCACAAAGGAGAATCATCCATAAAGGAGAAGTTGGGGAACTGGTGGGGACCACAACTCCCAGACGGGCAGTAACACTGAGGGAGCAATACTTCAAATGCTCAAGGAGGCCCCCTGAGGCGCAGCGGGTTACAGCACAGCACTGAGAAGCTTAAGCCACTTCCGCACGAGTTCGATCCCCGCCTGCCCCGGAGGTGACCACAGGGCGCGGCAGACCTCTCCTGACCCTCCCGCTGCTCCCCTCAGCAGTGTACTTCGTCGATCTGCCTGTTCTGCTCCCCACTCTGTCTCTGGTAAATCCTCTCACCCTCCGCATCTCTGGCCTGTACCCCAGTTCTGTATGCACAAATAAATCTTTTTTTAAAAAAAAATGCTGAAGGAACTTTATTTATTTATTTATGATTTTATTATTATCTGTTTACATCATTCTTCATTTTGTATTTTTTCTTATGTCAGTTGTCATCCTCATGGATTCCCACCACCACTTCCCCCGTGCCATCACCATAGTCCCGTGCTTTCTTTCCACCAGTTTATATCCTATTCCCCTCTCCACCCCTAAAATGTCACCAGTTTATAGTTGTTCATTGACTTTGTTTTTATTTTATTACAATTTGTTTTGTTTTTGTTTTTGTTTTCATCCATCTCTTATGCTCCTGCTATGAGTGAAACCATCCAAGGAACTTTAAAGAATGACATTGGTTGACTACAGAAGGATTAATGTTAACACTAAGAAGAATTGACTTGGAAGGAACAATTTAGCCAAGAACATGAAATATTCCAAGTTGTATTTTAGCAAATTCAAGGAGTTATTACACAAGCTCATGTGCACAAAAGTACAGACACACACTTAAATAAGAAAAGAAGGAATGATCCAAATAATTCAAACGGTATGTTTGTGAAGTTTAAAACATCATTTCCAACAAAGTCAACAGAGGGACTAGGAGAAAACACTCAGGAGCTCTCTCAAGATTTATGGTACGAAGAGGAAGTTGAGCTGCAGGTATCAGTTCAGGGAGTCCCACGCTTGGTGTGTGAGCATTCTTAGATAGCAAGGGAAGAAATAATCAGACTGAAGTGAACTTCATCAATTCTACAGTGACCTCAGCTCTAAAAATGCATTATTATTTCATGTATCACTATGGAAAGAAAGGCCTTGCCAGTTGAATTGATGGTACAATCCTCTCTCTTACTTTACTTTTTATTTTGTAATATGAAAAGATTTCTTTTGGATATATTTGTAGATATTTGTATTACATCATATTCTTGTCCACATGCAAAATTAAATACTTATAAAATAAATTACAAAGTAATGTTAACCTACATTAACCTTTAAACCTATTCAGAGTCAGACTCTTAAATTGTGCTAGGACTTGAAATCATATATATATATATATATATATAAATCACAGTGTTGTTTGTTGGCATAGAGAAGTTTAGTACACAAGATTCACCAAACACTAGCACATGAGTCTTAATTCCCTTTCTGCAAGTTCCTATGTTGCAATGGGCGATAATCCTACGGCCCAATTTCTTCTCTTATGTTCTACAAGTCATAATCGTTGCTTTGCGAGAAGATAGGGAAGCTCACTCATTCCTCCAAACCTAAGTCCTTGCTGCTCTAATATCACTATTTCACTTCAGTTATTTTTAGTGTTCACAATAACTTTTTTTAATGACAAATAATAACACCACCTTTGAAAATGTAAGACAATCCTCAATCTATACAGGACCAAACTGAAGTGAAAAAAGTCTAGGTGTGACAAAATACAAGCACTGTATAAACAATGACAAGTCCATAAAGTCTCCATTTCAGAGATGTGACAATGTGCAATATAGATCTTAATGTAAAATTCAGTGTAATCTAAGAGTTACATCAAATTTTTGAGATTTATTTTCTTCTATGTTCATCTGTTCAGTATTAGAAGAAGCCCACTAAAGCTTGTTTTTTTTTTTTAGACTTATTTTATTCATGCATGCAGAACTGGGGTACAGGCCAGAGGTGCAGGGGCAGCGAGAGGATTCGCCAGAGACAGAGTGGGGAGCAGAACAGGCCGGCTGACGAAGGGTACTGTGTTGGGGGAGAGAGATGTGGTCTCTGCTGCACCGTGCGGGTCACTCCCTGGACAGGGATAAAACTCGTGCTGAAGGCTGTGGCCAGCTTCATAATTCTGCCCTGCAATGCCTTGCACACCAGGGAGGGCCCTAAAGCTTGGATTTTATCTCCACCATAAGTTGTAACTTTTTCTCTATCAAATGACAGCACTTTTCCATTTAAACTTATTTCCTGATATAATTGTTTGACTTCTGCTGTCCTGTTTTAATTTTCCAGATATATCTTGTTCATTTTTTTTTTTCATTTAGTTTGAAATACGCTGATTGGAAACCACATTTGGCAAAATGCTGTTTTTCATCTTCAACTTCAAAGATTTTTGTCTTTTAATAGGAAAGTTGCATTTAGTATGATTATTAAATTTATAACACAGTGTTATGTCTCTTAGCTGATTGTAGTTCTTATCAGATCACATTATGCCATGATTTCTCCATTCATTTGCTAAATTTCTTACTGAGATGTATCAGCATAAAGCACAATGGATAGCTATGCATACACACACACACATATACATACATGCACACATATATTCAAAGATTAACAGGTTAATGGGAAGTTGAATAAACATCTAATATCCATTACCCAACTTAAGAGTATCATGAATAACTTAGAAGCTTCCCACTTACTTTATCATATTCATTCTCTGTATTGGATTTAATGCTCTTACATTTCATCCTACATTTTGTATTAATAATTCTTTTGTTTTTCCCCATACCTTTACTCTCCATGTATGTGCTTATATGTGTGTGTGTGTATTTGCATACATGGTTATATCTGTGTTTATATATAATTGTATATATGTGTTTACTTAGGCTTTTATATATGCAACTATACATGCAATAGCCATGTTATTGTCTAAAGCAAATGCAATTGCTGCTTGTTATTTTGGGTCAGCATTATGTCAATGCCAGTAGCTGTGACTAGAGGAAATGATCTCATTTGCCCTAATAAATGATGTGCTGCACACATTCGTTCAGCCTCTGGAAGACACCTGTAATATTGTGTTTTCTCTGAAAGGTGCTGACACTGTGGATGGGCCCAGAACTGAGCAAGACGGTGTCCCTGAATCTGCTGTATGAATGCAACATGATTTATTCATTTTGACAATTCAGTGTTTCTCCTTGTTTTTGTTGTTTGAGGTTTTTTGGACTATGATGAACAACATTGCTAGGAGCATTCGTTTGCATATTCCCTGAACATAGAATTTCTCTAATGTTTTTAATCTGAGCTGACTGTCTGGTAGCCCTGACAGAGGTAAGGCTGTGTACAAATGTTTAACATACAAAATGCACAGGAATGTCAATTGTCTTGCTAAGTGGCTTTACCACCAGCTTCTGCTCCCACCAACTTTGTGTGAAAGTTGCTATTGATCTTGGTCATTTTTTTTTTGTATTTACAGATTTTAATAAAAAAAAATCTAGAGATTATAAAATCTAATTTCCGTTTTTAAGAGAGTTCAAGACTGATAAAGTTGGCTCCATCAAAAAGGGTAACTCCAGTCTTTGAAAAACAGTTACAAAATAAAAATTCAAGGGTCCTCCCTGGAGGTGCAGTAGGTTAAAGTACAGCACTAAGAAGCTAAAGCCACTTCTGCAAGAGTTTGATCCCCGCCTGCCCCGGAGGAGATCCACATGGTGCGACAGACCTCTCCTAGTGAGGTGAGGGACACGGGGGCTGTCTGTGACACGGACGTGGCCAGACACACATTCATTGTGTCTGAGGCCCGGGTGGCTCTAGGTTTTGCTCTGTATTACCCTGAGCCTACCCTGGCAGTCAGTGGGGTGACAGAGCTTCGAGATCATCATGGCACAGACAACTGGAAGGGCTACGAGTCCCTGACACCCTCCGAAGACACCCACGAACCAGGGGCACAGACTCTGGGGCGAGTTGGCCATGTGACAGAGGGGTGAGGACAGGACCCGAGAGACAGAGGTGTTCCGGGAACACCCCAGAACGCATCTGACCCTCTGCACCCCAAACCTCACGCATCTGAGCCTCCTGGTTCCCCATGGCTGTGGAATAATTAGTAAAATGTTCACAAACACCCCAAGAGCTGACACTTTATTGTGGCCTTCAACTCCTGGGATAACTGGGCCCCATGGAGGCTTAGCGAGGGCGAGGCGGGCAGGAGGGAAAGGAATGTATACACAGCGCTGCAGCTCTTCATGGAGAAGAGAATCTACCACAGAACAAAATGTTGTTGGTCTTGTGGTGCCTGATGAAGAAAAGGAAGGGGTGGTCCGCGCAGAATCTGGGTTCCATTTTGCAGCACCGAGAGTTCCTGACCACGGCCGTGGCAGCGGCCGCCTCAGTGCCCTCCTCGTTCACTTCCACAAAGCACTTGTGTGCAACCTTGGACACCGGCACGTTCTTCTTGGCCGACATTCCGGAGAAGTCTGCCCTGACTTCCTCAAACGCATCTCTCATCCCCAAACTCTGAAGAACAGACTCCAGGTCATAACTCTCTTCCAGCTTCAGTCGAGGAAGGAAAACCTGAACTTTATCCTCGGTCATCTTCCCTGGGTCTGTCCAGGCTCGCAACTTCTCATAGGTCAGTGCTTTTTCCACCTGAAATAATGACAGGTCAGATCTCCACATCTAGATGAAGGCGCCCGGCGGCTCCGCCCCCCACTCCCTGTGCCCCCCACCCATAACATGCAGCAAAGATGGCGAGGGCTGGCCCAGAGTATCTCGTCCACAAGGAACACTCCGAGCTGGCCTCAAAGCCTCCCCTTTCCCTGTCTTGTGGATGCTAGAACACCTCTCACAGAAAGCACCTAAGATATAAGGTGTTTGAGACAAGAGACAAGAAAACCTCACTTAAACTTTCTGCACCAAGTTCATTTAAAAATGTTTCGGTTAGGAAATTCTCAACCAATTGATTGTAGGTGACACACGTTATTGTGAGTTGGGGATTATTTGACGACGAGACAAAGAGTGTGAATCATGACTGACTGGTGAGTGGTGGGTCTGAGGGGCATCTGAACAGGAAGGCGAGGTGACTTCTGGGCCAGGAGAGCTAAAAAAGGGGGATTCAACAGAGGTGTTGCTGCCACCCCTATGTGCCCTCCATCTGCCCTGGGGTTACGAGTGTCAAAGCCTCAAAGACCCATCACTTAAGCTCTCCACAGGAAGGCGATGCATGAAGCAGGGGTGGGGGTGGGGAGGTCCTTACCCGCATCTCTCCCTTTACCGCCTTCCGGTTACCACCCGGAGCCCGAGTCTGCCTCTCCCTCTCTCCCTCGACAGATGTTAGGACTTTAGCTTTATTCCCAGTCTCGCCTAGTTTTCTTGTTAAGTGGCCATCACAGGTCTCATCCTCAACCCATGCCAATAGCTTCCTGGGTCCAGAGAGAAACCAGGAAATCAGGCCGGCCCACCCTCAGCAACCTGTGCCCTGCTGGGCTGGTGCTGGCTTGTATCTCTGGCAAGTCAAGTGTGAAACCTTTGGTGAGATCAGTTCACTATTTACACCAAGCAATCAGCAAATATTACAAAAGGGGGCTGCTGACAGAAAGCCAGACCACTCACCTGAAGAAAAGCCTGTTCAGACTTCGCGTGTCCGGTACCCTGTGCCTTGCCAATGAACTTCAGCCAGGTCCTCATTTCTTTGCCCCTAACCCACTCTTCAGTCAATAAAATAAAATGCTCTGCAGCCTGAGAACAAGTGCAAACCTTTGTACCCTCCTTTCCTTTCTTTCTCAGAGAGGAAGATCGAAGGTGATCTCTCACCTCCTTGCCAGTCTATTGCAAATAAAGCTGATTTCCCACATGCCTAGCATGCTATCTGATCCCTGCATGATGGGGGTGCTCACGTCGCTCAGCCACACTCCAGGCCCCACCAGGGTCTCACCTCATGGAGACCAGCATCGTCATCCGGGAGCAAGATGACCATGCTCAGCTCCTCCCCCGCGTAGGGCAGTTCCAAGACCTGGGCGCGCACCTCGTCCAGGTAGCCCAGGTTAAACAGAGCTTGCCTGAACATCATCTGCACTGTCTTTTGTCCCTAGAAAAATATGCAATTAATATCAGATTATGAAAACATGGGCACGATTTACTGAAGATGAGATATGTCGAATTCTAGAACCCTGAAGCACCTACAAGAGAAATAGCAATTTCTGTGCATTTCTACTGAGAATTTTAAATCTTTATTACATATTAGTGTTGAGTACAACCTGCTGCTGTCCCAGCAAATCAAGTGTTTACTAGGTGAGAGAACAGACTGATGAACAGTGACAGACAAAAGGTGTTCAATGTTGTGTCTGGGAAAAGCTGTGTTTTTCTCTTTTGAGAAGATGAACAGACAGGTACACCTTAGAGTTAAAAAATGATTTCTCCTAGGTCTTGTGGCCTAGGGGTTAAATCTCAGTGCTATCACGAGATCACTGCTGTGGCCTGAGCTCGATCCCTGGCCAGGGAGGTGACCCGCAGGGCGCAGCAGACCTCTCCTGACCGGCCCACTGCTCCCCTCAGCAGTGTATCTCAGTAGATGCACCTGTTCTGCTCCCCACTCTGACTCTGCTGAGTCCTCTCACCTCTGCTCTCTAGTTCTTCTACACAAAAATAAATAAAACCTTTCCTAAATATATACACATATAGGAGAAGTATTAGCCAATAGTCAGGCCTTTGGGCTGAAGGATCTGGCTGAAAAAGAACAGGCTAGAAGGACTTCTGCTTTTATTCTGAAATGTGACTGTTTTTCTTGGAAAGGGAAATTTAACAAGGTGTGCAGGTCCACCATTTATAAAACTTGCATCAAATATATTTGAGATTTTTAAATCTTTAAGCAATATGCATGCTGTTATCAAGTGGATGGGGGTCAAATTCCTAGTTAATGTCTACTGAGCACCAGCCATTATCATATACAAAAGGGAATGGAAAAGGTGACTTTAATGTTAGGCATTTAGGGCTAGAGATCTGTGACTATATTTAACAACACTGGAAATTTGCTAACAGTAGATTTTAGGTGGTTTCACAATACCAGAGATGGTTACCATGCAAAGAGAAGATAATTAACTTGACCAGAGTAATAAAAATAATGATTTGACTAAGTATATCAAATGGTCATTTTGTACGCCTAAAATCTATATTGGCAATTTTATTTTTAAAAGGCCCAAAAATAAGAAAAAAGTAAAGTTACCCGTCACATCTACTAACACCTCTTGTCTTGTGTTTAGAATTCTGTAGCCATGCATTCTAAGGCAATAAATAGGCATGGTTGTCACTGACATTACAAAAAGGCATGGAAATAAATACAGAGTGAAATACAAACAAACTTAACACCAAGCTTAGAAGAAATTGTCTTTCAATCCAGATAATACCACCAGGCATAGGAGATCAATTTGACCACGCGTGCAAAAACAAAACCATCAATATAAAAACTCTTTTAGCATTTCTCCTCCCTTCTCTAGAGAAACTCAACAGGGGCATAGACCACATTCACAAATAGATTAAGGATCAAGGCAACAGAAAGTAATTTATTTATGTTTTCCATTTTCCAGCATATTGCTTTCAGGAAGAAGCGTGTCTGAAAAACATTTCCCTACCTGGCTGGTTTTAAAGGGCATCCCCCTGGTGTGCTTTCTGTCAAATGGCTGGTCCCACTTTCCTTTGAAATAAATAGCATTCACGAGCACTAGCTTAGTCAAGGGGCCGACACTCCCAGCACCCAGGATCTCCGAAATCTTTCCTGTAACGAATATGAGAAAAGTTTATAGCTACTTGGGAGTGAAAAGCTATTCTTCCACCCAAATCTCCTTGGCACATGCACCCTTGGCTTACTTGAAAGCAGCCAGAACCCCGTCCCGCTGGCCAGGGTGGTGCCGTTTAGGGTCAGGACCCTGCACACAAGAGGCACTGTTCACCCTTCAATACCCATCTGGAACTGGCGGGCCAAGAATCACTCACCCTCAACTGCAAATATGGAATTTTAGATTCAGGACAGCCGACTGACTTTCTGCCAAGATCACGTAGGTGGCAGTGGCTGAGCGGGGATGATCACCGAGAACCCTGGTTCCCACCTCGCACTGTAATTTCTCAATCACGCCAGATTGGTGCTTGCGGTAGATAATCCCTGTGAGACTGTCCTGTGCAACCTCGGATATTTGTGACAACTGGAGTCCTCTTTGGTCATTGTCAGTGTCAACAGGAAGTTGACCTGAGCACGAGATGTTGCACCTGCCACCCCCAGACCTCACCTGTGTGAGGAGAGAATGGGGGCGCAGACCTGCTATTGGGGAGGTGGTTTCCTGGAAGCAGCGAGGGGGCCAGAGAACTCTGGGGAAGAGGCCCACACTGGTGTGGGCCTACCTAGTGTTGGTGGGGGCAGGGGGGCTGCGAGGAACTGTGGGTGGTCAGCAGGGGGCTGCACAGCTATGGAGGGAGGGGAGAAGGGTCCAGAGAGGTGAGTGTGGAAGCATGTTGCTTCCCCAGGAGCCCACAGCCCCCCTGGGCATCCAAAGGCACCAGCAGCACCTCCCAGGCCCTGTTCTATGGCTTTAGTGTGATGACCAGGCCCTGGCTGCTGCCAGGGGCTGACGGGTAATCCTGACTGCCAAACTGGGGCGCGGAGAAAGGGGCTGGAACTCCCCCACATTCTGGAAGATGCTAGATTACACACTAGGTATATGCTCCCACATGCTCCTACAAGCTTGTTGTCTCTGCCTTCTATTCAAGATCTGGGAAAAATGTTTCCAGTGAGAGGAAGGTGATTCTGATGCAAGCAGCATCTGGAGCAAAACGAAGGAAAGCTGCCTCTCTGAAGCCAAACAGCCCAGCTGGGAGGCAGGAGGAGGCAGGCCAGGTGGGTGAAACCAGAGCCGCTCACACTGGCACTGGGAGGGGCCAGAAACCTGTCCGGGTGAGGTGGAACTGAGCAAAGCAACACCCTCCCCTCCCCGCTGCCAGCAGCCTCTTTCGGGAATTTTCCAGCAGGGCCCAGAGGGGAGTTTTCTGAGATCCTTATACCAGCTTCAGGTATTTTTAGCAATCAGGCTTCATGAGCCAATAAACCCAGGAGGAATAACAGAACCTCACTGTGGACCTGAAGCCCCATCAAACACACAAGCAGGCCCGGAGGCAGCAGGGAGGCGGTTCTGCCCAGCCAGTCCCCCTCCACCCACCTCCCAGCCTCAAATGCAATTGAAACCGAAACCGCTTGTCTCACCCTCTGTCTTCTGGGCCACCCAGTCGTTGATGCGCTTCCTGCAGCCCTCGGCGTCCTCACCGAAAGGCAGCTCCTCCAGCTCCGAGTGGTAGAACTCCAGACAGGAGTCCTTAAAAGCCTGCAGGAAACAGACAATTCGGTCCCACCAGGCAAAGGCCTCTTGCTCTTCTGAACGTGTTTCTAGCAGCAACACCCCTGAAGACTTGTTCATGCAACAGATGCAAAGGCCGAGAGGGCCAGAGCTGGCCCGCGCCGCACCCCAGGGTGAAGGCGTGATGCGGGCTGCAGGCTCCTAGGCCGCTCGGTGACCAGGTGCACCAGAGGGTCACACCACGTGGCACCAGACGCACAGCGGCCCGCACAAGGCCCTGCTGTCCTCAGCACCAGGCTAACTCACCTACCCACTTTTTGCACCATCAGCACCAACGACAGTGTCTAAAACACATTTGTTGGATAATTGAGAGTCCCTGGTGAACCTGATTATGCTGACATTTTACAGGCCCTGCAGGAGTGGAGCGTGATAAGACCGAGATCATAGTGTGTGTGTGTGTGTGTGTGTGTGTGTGTGTGTGATTAGGGAAAACACAGCGACAGCAGTGAGTCCTGAAAGGGAAGCTGGGTCAAGTCGGGAAGGGCCCGGCTTGCTATACGTTAAAACCCAGGAATAACTCACTCACAAAAACTTGGTTTGAGACAGAATATGGCTGGCAACTGGTGCCTTGTTCTCATCTCGTGTTTGCAAATATTTCAGCCTCTGCAGAAGATGCAAAAAGAAGGAGCAAAGAAACCAAGAAAGGCAAAGGATGGTTCCTGTGATCCCAGGATGCCCCAGTTGTAATGTTCAAGGACCAGGATGTTCAGCAAAGGACCCCAGGAGCCACCGTGTTTCTCCTGGAAGACGGGGCCAGCGGAAAATGCAGAATCAGCTCCACAATACTTGAGCCCATGGAGGGCACCCTCCATGGGGTGCAGGCCACTTGTGGGGTGAGGCGCGCAGCATCAGGACAGGGGTGTGCAAAAGCCTTCAGACGCAGTCCTACAACTTAAAACGCAGTGTGCAATCGCTCTCTCGTTTTCCATTTGTCACCAGTGTGGGAACTGCTTACGGGAAGGAAATCGCACGTCTTTTCTCCAAAGAGTCTGTTGGCAGTCGTGAGCACATACTGGACATCGGCTTTGTTAACCGCTGTGAGGAGAGACTGGAAGCCCCGATGAACATCTCCACCTTTACCCAAGCAAAGGGCCTGTGGACAGAGACAAGGACAGTGACTTCCATTGCTAGCCGCTGCTTCACTCCACCAAGCAGCAGTCTGCAAACCAATCTCTGTGCTGAAAATCCCTGAGAACCCCAGTTTAAAAGAATCTGGTTTGACTGCCTCCCCAGCCTTTCCCGGACTGGGCACAGCTGACATGAGGGCAGATGCTGAATCCTAGGGACCATCCTCAGCGAGGCAGGGTACCTTACTGCAACTCTAGCCTCTGTCCACTAGATGTCAGTAGCACCCCTCAGATAGGACAGCCACTCTGTCCCCACTTGCCAAAGGTCCCAGAGGATCACCCCTTGAAAGGGTTACCCACTCGGGAATCCTGGTTATCTTGCAGCAGGACAGTCGTGATAACTCAGGCAGGAGACTGAGCAAAACAAACAGGTTTTCGGAAGCAATCTACCATGACAAAACCAGCAGGAAAAAAAAACTGAAAAAAGTGTTTCATATAAAAAATGTTTCATCAGCAATGTCACAGGGAAGTTCTCCAGACCAGTGATTTCAGTGGGGCTTAGAGTTGTTCCTGCATCTGACATCACCCCCAGTGCAAAGCTGCCCTCCTCGTGACTAGCAAGACTGCCACGGGGAAGTCCCCTGACGCCCAGGACGACTGGCACAGGGTCCACACCTTGCGTTAGTGGCAAGTGGCTGCAGGTGGCAGCTGTGGGGCACTCACCAGACAGCCAAGCAAACTGAGACCGGGGAGGCTCAGGGTCGCTTCCCCAGACTCTGACCTGCGATGTAATTCGTAACTGAGCTCCCATGTCACCCACTACGGGCCAGATTATGTTGCCTTTAGGTGACGCCAGGAGATGAGGCCACATCTGTGTCCCATTCTGCTTCCAGGAAAGCATCGGCAGAAGCTAGACCTGACCCACTTACTGCGCTTTCTGTATGCAGCTGCAGCTCCATGTGCAAGACCATGTTAGCCACTGTTTAACAGTTAAGAAAGCTGAACTGCTTTGCCTTTGGTGGAGCAGAATTTAGAGTTCCCTTTATTCAGCAAAAATGCAGTTTTGCCATAACCTGCTTCTCCCAGGAGGACCAAGGGCAGCGGTCTGTCCTCCCCACCACCTGCCTGCCCAGGTCTGTACTCTGGGCAACACAAGTCCCCTCCCCCACAGCCCCCCCCCCCAAGCCAGGGGACTTCCAGCTGCTGGCGGGAGACAGAAGCAGAAAGAGGCTAACCCGTGTTCTTCCCACGTGAGGGCACATACCTCGGACATCTGGGTAGCGGTGTTACCTTTGGCCCCCAGAAAGACCATGGCCAGGGCAGACGAGATGCTCAGCGGAGAGAAGAACATGTTTCCTGAGTGGTTCTCTTCCCCCAACATTTTAAACAAGTTGATGGCGAAAGTGCCATTTGCTTCACAGAGGTCATCCATGAGGAAAGGCCTGTGTCAAAGCACGAAGCCCATCACCAAACACGCCATCCTCGCCCTGCAGCTGACAGGTTGAGTCCCCCAAACTGTCTGCGTCACCCTACACATTCATGGGGTTAAGGGGAAGGATGTCCTAAAGGAACTCTGCAGAGTCTTGTGGACTCCACCCCCTACTCCAGCTTTCTGGACTCTACCCCCTACTACAGTGATTGGAAACTACAACTCCCAGCAGCACCAGGGAGAGAACTGTGAGGACCCGAGGGCGGAGCTAGCAGGAATTCTGGGACATTTGGGGGATAAATAGGGTGAGATTCCATCTCTCGCTCTTGCTGGGGAAGCAGCTCTCCTGACCTCGCGACTCTGTGTGCTCAGTCGGCCTAGCCGTAAGGTATTCCACTTACTTTGTACCCCGCTCTCTTCCCTTGGGTTGTTTCCTATTCCTTTCCCCTTTTGTAAATAAACCCGTTATTGACCCTTTCATGTGCCCCTGCAGTGTAACCAAATTGTGAGCGTGTGTGTGAGGCCCCACAGACAGGCGGCCCAGTCCACTCTAGGCTGCCCTGTAACAATGGGACTTCGCAGATGTGATGAAATGATGGACCTTGAGATGTGGAGTCTCTGGGATTCTCTAGGCACAGATGCTATAACCACAGTATCCCCATAAGCGGGAGGCGGTGGGTCAGAGTGAGAGAAGGGGGAAGGTGGGGGTCAGAATGACATGTGTCCACGGAGCAAAGAACACAAGAAGCGAGGAAATGAGCTGCACACTGGAGCCCCGGACAAGTGTAGCTGTTGGGCTCCTGAGCTCCAGGACTGCAGGACTCGCTTGAAGTGTCCCGGCCGACCCCTCGCTGGTCTAGCAGGCAGAGAGCGAACCAGTGACACAGACCTGGAGCTGGGAATCAGCGGTGCCTAAGTCAGCGGCCTGTGGGTAAAGCCCCACTGACGCCCAAGGAGTCAGTTAAGTGAGGTTTCACGATGGGCGCCAGGCCTGTGTCTTTGCAAAGCGTTCCTCTCTCTGGACAGCATCAGCACGGCCCCACATGGTTCCTGCTCACTGTCCTGGTTCCTTTATCCTTTACAGCTTTTTTTTTTTAAGATTTATTTATCAAGGCATACAAGAACTGGGTACAGGCCAGAAGTGGGGGGGGAATCACCAGAGACAGAATGAGGAACACAACAGACAGACCTACTGATCCCCAGCCAGGGAGGTGACCCACCTGTCCCTTAAAGCTTTTGGGAGGGTTGGGTCATGAAACAAAATGGATCTTGCCCAACAAATAAAAAAAAATGAATTTCAACATAGTAAGAAAGAGTAGCTTTGGGAGCATGTCAAAAGTCAACGGTGCCATCAAAACACCACAAAGATTGATTTTCAGTAAAGCATAGATGCGTTATCAGCATCCAGTTTCCAGGAGATACTAGAAGAAAGGCTGCATTGACTCCCCATTGTCCGGTCGGTCTTGCAGACAGTCAGGGAAGAAAGACCAGGAACTGGACCTCTGGGGAGCAGAGAGGGCGTGTCTGCTTGTCCCAGGGAGGAGGCAGGCGGGTTGGAGGGAGGCGGGAAGAGAACGGATAAGCTGGTTCTCAGGGGCACTGGTATTTGGCTGGAGGTGGCTGGAGGTGCGTGGACCCAGCGCCTCCCAGAAGCTTGCCCACGCCCACAGCAATCCCGGCGGGCGGATGGAAGCTTCGCCCTGCAGCTGCGCGTCCTCCCACTCAACCTCCAGAAAATTTCCACTCCGGGCTCTGGCCACCACCCCCGGGCTCGGGTTACAGCCACTTCCCCTTTGCTGGCCAATCGCAGGACAGCTGCGTCTGCAGGTCCGGGCGTTCCCTCGCAGCAGGGGCCGGGGTCGCGGGTGCCCCCCGCTGGGTGCCGGGGTGTCAGCCCCCGGGAGACCTCACCTAGGAGCCCGGCTGCAGGAGGCTAACGCCCCGAAACCAAGCCGCTCCGCCAGGCCAGCTCCTGACCGCTGCCCCGGCTCCCTCCCGCCGGGCCTCCTCCCGCCTTGCACAGCCCGCGTTCCCCCGGGGTTGCGGGTCAGCAAGGGGAGTCCAGGGCCCCTGCGCGCCCCGGCTCAGTACCTGGAGTTTGATCCTGCTGCTCAGGCTGCTGCTGCTGCTGCTGCTCCAGCTTGGCGAATGCCGTCGGATCGCTTTAATTTGGGGCAGCTCTTCCGGTGGGTGACTCAGCCGGTTGCGCCAGCCTGCCGCCATCCCGCCTCCTCCTGGGGAATGGACCCCAGGGGGCCGGGGCTTCCCCTGCCGGCTCCGGGAGCCCGGGGCTTAGTGGGCCGGGGCGTAGGTAGTGGGCGAGGCTCGCCCCGCGCGGCCCCTCGACGGAAGGCTGCGCCGGTCTGGGGCCTGCGGTGGTCCCGGGATGGTGCATTACCCCCCTTCCTCGGTGGGTGCTCTCTTAAGCACCTGCGGTTTCCAGAAGGAGCTGTATGGTGCAGATTTATCAACACCAAAACCAAAGGAGGGATTCTGAAAGCCAGCGGTTTCCAAGCTAGTTTGGCAGAAACCCAGCAAAATACCTTTTGAAAACATACCGCGAGCCTGCGTGGGTTTATGTGCTATTAGACCCGGGAGGCCTGAACTCCATGAACAAACGGCAACTTCACCCGAGAGGAGAAAATAATAGAAATGAACATTTTTGTTCTCATAAAATTATTTTAGAGTTAATGAGAACTGTGTGATTGAATGAATATGTTTGTTTTAAAATTTAGCTCTTTGATGATGGGAAGCCCAAGGGGGTTGCAACTGAGATGGAAAAATGCACAAAACGATGTAAAAATAAATTATTATAAAAAATTAGCTCTTTGCAAAATAGTAATATGAAGAACTGGGTTGTTTGTAGACACGGCTGAGTTAGGTTTATTCTTAAGCTGGATTCAAGTCTGTCATTGTAACAGTGGTAGGTTTGGGGGTTCTAGGGTGCCCCTCTCCCTGCCTAGTAACATGATGAGGAAAAGCTACTCAGGATTTGGATGGGTTTCAAAATCTCATCACTGGGTGTACAGTCTTGACCTTTATTTTCAATCTGCGCACCAAGAATTGTAGTTGAAATCTAATTGTAAACTACAAAAATCACTTAACATCAATTGTTCCTGAAGACGTTTGCATAATGTATTTTTAATACTTTGAAGAGTTTGAAGAGCAGCCAAAACTCTCATTTCACAAGATTTTAAGTTTACATCTTTTTAGTAATAAAATCAGATAATGCTGGGGAAATATTGAAATAGATGTTCTCAAAACAACACCTCTCTGTGCTTTCAAGAGATGATTGTCAATCCTGGACAAGGTGCACTTGAGCCTGATGGCAGAAACTGTTTTCCCAGAATCTACAAGGGGTCACTAGTGATGGCCACTTGGCACGAAAGCTCAGGCACTTGGAACCCTGGGCTTTTTGAAAGGGGAAAAAAAATGCATACAATAAAATGGGTGTTTTAAGTACTTTGAATGAGATATTAAGGAAGTGGGGTGGCTTTCAGGCTGTTCTTAGAACACTACACTGATTATTACAATGGATTGCAAAAGTGCTGCCCCAGATCAATTTTGAAGAGTTTCTGGGTCACCTCTGACTTTACAGACAGTTCTTACTCTGTACCGTCTTAAAGGGTCCTCAGTCCTCACAGTCCTGACTGACCATAAATAGGCAAAAGAACAGGATCATTCTCTTGGTCTCGAGCAGATAGTGAGGAAGGAAAGGTCTGTCTCCTTAGAATGTCCCTTCACTGTCCTCATGAAGAAGTGACCACTGAGGATTATCTGGACACTACTAGTGGCCATAGGGTAAAAACATGTTTGTAGAGGCTTTAACCTATAACCCCTAAAACAAATACAATGAAGTAAACCAGCTTTACCTCAATAAAATTCTAACATTAAAGAAATGTCAAGGACAGAGATATTTTGTTAGAATACAATGAAATGGTTCATTTAAGAATAAAACAAGGAAGAAAATAGGTTTCTATGAGAAACTAAAGATTCAGACTCAGCCTTCCAGGGAGGTTTAATTAATGGTCAGTGATCAAGAACACCATGTATTCTACCTGTCTATAGGTGCAAAAATCGCAAGTCAAGTGAAAAAGAGTAAAGTAGCTGGATCAGGTGAGAGAAGGTTAAAAGTTCTGTAAATAACGTTTTTCCAAGGTGGCAGTAACTAAGCTCCATGTCTACCTTATACATACTTTTTACTTATCTGTTTTAAAACAAAAGTTGGCACTTGTGTTATCTTTTTAACCAAAGAGACTGAGGATATTTCAGTAGGTCTGTATTTCTTGACTATTACATCCATGCTAGGTACTTCTGAGAAACTATTCTTTGTCCTCAACTGCCATTAAAAGGGAGGGAAGGGGCCCTCCCTGGTAGCGCAGTGGGTTAAAGCACAGCACTTTGAAGCTAAAGCCACTTTGGCATAGTTCGATCCCCACCCCGGAGGTGACTCACATGGCGGGCAGACCTCTCCTGACCCGCCAGCTGCTCCCCTCAGCAGTGTACTTCATCAGTCAGCCTGTTCAAAGACTTCCTTCACTCTGCAATGCTACTGCTCACCCAACAGGGGGCGCTGTGATGGCTGTGAGGGGAGCATCCATCCTAGCGGAAGGGTTCCCAGAGGTGATGCCAATGGAAAGCAAGGAGCATGCAGGGGTGATGAGAAAGGAGCTAAGTTTGGGATCCAAATTATGAAGAGCTTCAAACATCATACAGTGGAGCATCATCTCGAAAGCCAAAATCAGGGCCTCCCCGTGGCACAAGGGGTTAAGTCTCAGGACTATGAAGCTATCGTAGCCACTGCAGCACAAGCTCAATCCCTGGCCAGAGAGGTGTCCCACATGGCGCAACAGACTTCTCCTGTCTTGCCAGCTTTTCCTCAGCACTGTTATTTCAATAGCTTTGCCTGTGCTGGTGAATCCTCTCACCCCACCCTAATTCTGGCCTACACCCCAGCTCTTGCGTGCAGGCATAAATAAAATAGATTTTTTTTTTTTTAAAGCCCAAATCAGTACACTGTGCAGTATAGTATAGTAGATCACAATGCAGTTGATATGGGTGCGTAGGCCAGCGGCTCCTGAGCCCAGGGCGTTGTATGTGAGTGGGAGGAAGGTCGCAGGCTTCTGGGAGTGGGCACTGGGCTCCACCATAGTATGGAAAGTCCATGCTGTGGAGCTGAAGCCCCTCCCATGTAGTAAAACCAATATGGACACAAGGAGTGGTCCCCACTGCTCAGACAAGGTACTCGCCTTGCTGATTTTAAAAGGCATCTCATGGTCTGCTCTCCCTGCCGGTTGGGGGTTTATTTGTGTGTTCCTCTTCAACTCACAAATCCCTATACCCACAGAAGCAACTGCATCTTGAAAAGCCTGAGTGACACACATTCTTAGTCTTCCAGCTTGAGCTTGGTCCGCTAATAGGACCAGAGGGGTAAGTGTACTTTGCCTGTGGGAGGATGAATCACTAGGGGTCAGAGATCAGTGGCCTCAGGAACCCCCCCCCCCTACTATTTTCAGCATTTATGCCTCGTGTGGTCATCAGGCTACCTGGGCATGGCCATGAGACCAACTCAAGCCCATGGAACATCAGTTCCATTGTAAGCGAGCCCCAAGTGGAGACAGATAATCACATGCGTGTTCAAGCTTGTCCTCGTGAAACACTCCCGGGAAGCCTGGGTCTGAGGCTGAAGGAGGAGCAGGCTACAGGGTCAAGCGAGCCAGAGTGGAATTCAGGGCCTAATTTTTCAGAGTCGACATCAGCAGAGTCGACATCAGCAGAGAAGTGAGCTCAGAGGGGAGCAGCACCTCTCTATCTGATATCTTTACAAATATTTACCAATCTAATAATTTAACAGTCATGGTTTTCCAGGAGTCTATGATACAGTGACTCACCTGAAACTAAGCATCGAAATTCAATACTTTTGACTGAAAACATTTGAATTCCATATGTCAAAAGGATGCCAACCACTAAAAGATAAATGACAAAATAAGAAACATGCAAAAGTAATTTAAATATCATTTAAAGGGCTCAAGGAACACATTGAAGATAAAAAGAAACCCCCATAGAAATATGTGCAAAGAATATTAATAAATTTGCAATAATGAAAAGCAATAACTAATAATTACATAAAAGGTGTCTGGAGGCTCTGGTAGACTAGAGAGGTGCCTCGTATGACATTCAGATCATTGATTTAGACAACCCCCTGATGAGGGACACTATGTAAGACTGGGAAAAGAGAAAACAAATTCTGAGGAGTTTTTTTGTTGTTGTTGTTCTGTAAGGTTGCGGTTGTCAGAAGGGCCAGAGAGAGGCCCAGGTATCCGACGGTAATTTGAGAGTACTGAGCAAATGAGCTGACATCCAGGGCCATGGGCGTAGTGAGAATTTCCTGGAAGCATGAGAAGGCCAGAGGAGCCACCCGGATGCCAGTAGGTAAGGCGTGAGTTGAGGGGGGAGTCAAAAAGACTCATGGGGTGGCCAGAGGAGACATGAAAATTTCCAGGGAAGAGATTATTAACAACGGCAATACCAAAACAGTGGATGGTGAGGTTTTAAAAGAATTTAAAGGAATTTTTAAGGGTTTGGAGAGGTGACAAGGCCCATGTGAGGCCCTGGCTTCGGTGGCCATGATCAAAGGCAGTGGCAGTTCTGGGAACTGAACAGGAATAGGACAGATGTGTGGCCAGGGCCAGGGTCACACTGTCACACCACCGCGTGCAGAGTCTGCGTGAGCATTCACGTACACTTTTGCTCAAAGTTCAAGGAACAGGGCACACAGAGGGACAACGTGACACTTGGCGATGTCTTGGAGCCTGGCTTCCTGTTTGCTGGATTCTATTCTTAATAATACTATTTACTGTACTTTTCTCATATGTTTTCAAGAAGCCTGTTACTCATGACAATGTTTATTTCTATAATGATGAGCTTACCACTGCCACTAATGAAGCTAATACTATTCCAGTGGAGGAAGTTACTCTTCCACCAAATGCTTCCAGAATGTTACAGTTAATATACAAAGCTGTCCAGACTGGAGGGGACTCTGTTGGGACTTTCTTTGATGATCTAGAACAGCTGGAAATATTTTATCCAGAGGATAATAAGGAAAATAAAAATGAATCTGAAGGTTTACAGGCTAAACAAAAATAGATAAATCAAAAAAGAAATTACTTCCTACTGCTATGACTGATTTTGGGCCAGCATATATTCTAGGAAAGAGGCTTTGGCATCCACCCAAAGGGAGTAAGGGAATGTTCAAAGTCCCAGAGCCCACAGATGAGCCTACTCCTTATACAGGAATTTATTACCAGGGACACAGAATAGTCAATGGAGGGGGAAAGAGAGTCAGGTGGTGGTCACTTAGTTTTTGGGAAAAAATGAAAAGGTCACGTCCTCCTTGGTGCATATTAAGTAAAGCACAACATGAGTCTATTTTAGAACAATTCCGTAAACCATATTTACCTAATCATAAAGTCACTAAATGGCTCCGTTATAGACACTGGGTAACAGAAAACTACAAAGGCTGGTTTGAGTGAGATGTGTGGGACTGAAAGGTTAGTTAGACAAGATGTAGCAGATGGATGAATGACCACATACAGCATGTCTCACACCATTAATCATTATTTGATGTCCCCAGTAGATTGTCACCCACTTCCCCATCTGCTTCTAAGAAAATGTAATAAATCGCCTCCTGTTTCACTAAATATGTAACCAAACACTGATGTAATCATGATTCTTGCCAAAAATACTGTATAAATACAAAAGCTTACT